TATTCTGTTGAGATGTGAACAAGCGGTTTATCCTACCAAATTCTGTCCTTGTCTGTACGAATTGGCGACCTTAAGCTGCTACCTAGAATTGCATTCTCATGTGGAAGCCAAAATTCTCTTTAAAGAGAGCCAAAAGCCCGTTCGCGGGTGCCAAACAAATTCCCTTCGGGAAGATATAAAATCCCTTCGGTGAGCTATAAAATCCCCTCGGGGAGCTATGAAATCCCTCCGAGGAGCTATATTACCTGTTCGTGGGTGCCAATTGTTCCTTCGGGAACCTATAAAATCTCTACTCCCTCGGGGGCATCAAAACAAAGCAATAATCGAAGCAACTAATGGTGGGATAAATTGTTTATGTCATGTTAACTCAGAATTATTAAAAGAAAACAACACATGCACTTCAATGAATACTTCAATGGAAGTTGAGCCTGGTTCAAGTAATTTTTAGGAGGTAAACAATAACTACAATTTATCAAATTTTATTACAGGTTATTGATGAAATCTATACCCATTACCATGAACACTGCTATGTTCGTCGAGATTTTATAAGAGATTTTATTTTATAAAATTAAATTTTATATGCTCTTCTGTTATATAAGTAAGAGTTACATACCGAGAACGGAGGCAATCAGCCTAATACATCCCGAGGGCCGTAGGCTCGAGGGATGTATAGGCTGATTGCCGACGTTCGAGGTATGTAACTGGCTTATTTCATACTTGAAGAAGTTTTCCAAGCACTGCATTAATATTTTCATTTTTAAATAGGCAAAGAAGCCGTTTTCATATGAATTAAAAACCAAACCCTCGATTAGAAAGATTACGAAATTTACAGTATTGAAAATTCCCAACGGGAATAATTTGCATAACCAATTTTCTCGTTAGTCCCATGAGACCAATGCTAACAATACACCTTTGGTAACAAGTAACTGGACAATGTTAAATAACTTTTATTCCATAACTGACATCGATTAGTCAGTTAGCATAACGTGTTAAGTATAGGATTTTCAAAGCTAAGGTTGTGGGTTCGAATCTACTTGGTGTCATTTGATTTTTTCTTTCTTTCAAGTTTAAAGTTTCAGACGGAAAATTTCTAAGTTGAACGTAGTAGTTAATTAGGTATTCAAGGGCAATATACATTAGTATTCAAGGGCAATATATAGATACATCCCTCAAATGGGAGCAATATCTAGATATATCCCTCAAACTTCGATATAAAGCACTTGAATACGCAACGAGCTGGGGAATAAGCGAGATACAACACTGTGAATAACAAAGAAAACTGAATCAAGTATGAAATAATTACGTTTACAGTTTTGTGTTGATGACCATCAACACAACCATGTTTCTTAACTGATGTATTTTATAATAAATTTGTAGATTATTTGCAAATTTTATAGCATTATACCATGCAGTTGTATATTTTGATATATATTTGCCGTTACAGTTTATTGATGAAATCACCATAAACAGTGCCATGTTCGTCAAGAGATTTTACACCAAATGTTGTAATTATTTTTATATGCTCTACAGTTATATAATTACATTTACAGTTGTGTGTTAAAAAATATAATTGTTATAAAATTGCCTTCTTCAAAGATTTTGTCATGCCATGCATCTCATGYTCGCACAACATTTTAAACAAAGATGACAGAGGCCATATGCAGTCATCAATTGCTATTTTTTAAAGCCTTCTTTATACCAGCACTAGCCACATGCAGTCTTTGACTGCGTATTTTTTACAGAAAGAAAGAAGGAAAAAATGAATGAAAGAAGATTAGAAATAAATTGAGAAAAAAAAGAACAAGAAGCATAAACGCAACTACACTGACTTACACATCAAAAAATCTTTAGAAAATTTAAAACTTTAAAAAACTTTAATCACTTTCAATAACATATATATTAAATTGTTATAAACTAGACGCCCCTGGGGCGTGAAGTCGGACTAGATATTTTTGAAAATTGATAGACACGAGTGAAAAGATTATGATGTTATATTTTGTCTAATCATATGATATTAAGAATGTAAATGACTTGAGAAAGACAGCAGGATATTACATAAAAGATAAAAATTAGATTAAAATATATATTTCTTAATTTTTCTCAAAAATAGCCGAACTCACGGTCTAAT